AATTTTTGAAAACATTGGCTCAATCCGTCCACGGTTATTTTATTGTGAATCCTGCCTTCGCCTTTTTGTTAGCAGCTCTTCGATCAACCCAGGAAAGAGTACCAGAGGCCATGTTTTCTAATCCAAAAGGTCACTTTCATGGCTTGAATGGGTCAAGATAGGACCTTTCAAAAGGATCGTTTTTTGGGCTTGATTTTGAAGCGTAGTTTTCCACTCTATTTTCTACTATATATATAACAAGGAGTGGAGCTGGAGAATCTCCCTCCCCGGCTAGGCTACTACGTTTTCTTGTTTGAAATTCCAGGTCTGGTCTTCATTGGTATTTGCTTTTTGCTCACCGACTACGTTTTTTTCTTTTTAGTTCTTCCCCCGCCCGGTCGAGCTGTCTGAGGTCGATGGTGCATCCGGTAAGCTCTTTCGGTATTCATCTCCGGAGCCCGGTCAGATGCTTCAATCCTTCATTCATATTCCGTCTCAATATCTTTCTTTTTTTCAAGTCTATATTGCGAGTTTACAGCTCGAATGTTTGACTAGTCTTCTCCTCCCATGTGATAAATGGGCGGTCTCCCCTAGACCTTATTCCGTCTAAGCTCTCATAGCATTCGTCTTTCTTCCTTCTCTGCTGTACATCTGTATTCTTTCCCTCGCTTTATAGAGATCTTGGCTTTCTGGTTTTTTGTTTCTTTGGTCAGGGGGTGCTGTGGAGAAAGAATTTAGGAAACCAAGCATGTAATAAGCGGAAATCAATACACAGGAAAGGAGTTGTACACGAGTTTGGTAAAGCATTCACCTTTCGGTTGTACATCGACCTGTCGGGAAACTCGAAAGTCTCCCGCAAGCGTCCCTTCTTAGGTCGGCATTTGGCTTTGGCCTTGCTTGTTCGGTTTTGGCTCATTCTTTAATATGTTGTATCTTGCCATGTCTGCTCCGTCTGTTGGTATAACATATATGTCTTCTCTGGCAATAGCCAATCAAGAAGCCAAAGCTGGAGCCAAGCCGGCACACCGGGCGAGGAATCCCTTACTTGTTCGGCTGGCGGATGCCGTTCTTGCTCTTTATGAAGATGCAGATGCAGTATAATACGAAAATTTATAAGCCAAGTTCGGTACACCAAGCCGTTACACAAATCTCTTTGTTTCAAATAGGTTATCCCATATCGGCCGGCCAATCAACAAAGATCTGAAGAATGACCACTTTTTGAGCCTACGAAAGGAAATTCCATTAGAACATATAACAGAGGCGTGAATGGGGGAATACGATACCATAAGGAGGAATTCATAGAACTTCATATTCTACTACCCGAAGGAGGAGGTATATGGCAATAGCCAAGTTTACGATAAAAGAATAGGACAAAGGTATATATTAAAAGTCTGAAGTCAAGGTAGCAAGACGGTATGAAATTGTTACACGAGCAAGCTAAGTCCATTAGAGTTCATTTAGTCGAGCCTTTAAGAGCCATGCGAAAGCAATATCATGAACGTACGAGAGGAAGATGAACATGCTCCAAGTAGGCTTTTTTTCTACTTCTTATATCTTATAGTTATAGTAGCTCCGCGGATCCGCCCTTCGAGCGATGGTATAAGGAAAATGTGTATTCCAGAAAGCACATGAAAGAACGAAATAAAGAACGTACCGAAGGAGCATGGGGTTTCGGGGGGGACTTATGCTTTTATTAAGGTTTAATACTCTTTGTGTTAGGCCCCCCCTATGCTAGTTACTAACTTAGGTACCTAGCCCAGAATCCAGAATCCATCGAAAAAATCAAAGATAGTAATGCATTCTTAGAACAAGCATATCAGCAAATCAGCTACGTTACCCTTTTTCGCTTTCAAGATTTCTATCTTTGTTTCGTTTCGCTTTTTGTTGTTGTTGGTTCCCATTTCATTTTTTGAGATAAATCTTGTTTTTTCTTGCTCTTCTTTTAAATCCTGGTCTTGTTTCAATTGTAGTTCTTCGGTTGAGTTCGTTCTTTTATTCAAATACATCCCATTTCAGGTTAGCTCTCTGCTCGGGATGCATGGGCGTCCGTCCTTCATTCCCATCCTTTATGTTATGTAAAAAGAGACTTCCCCTCCCACTCTCCAATATAGGGGACCTCTATCGAGCATCTCACATCTGTCTGTATCGTCGGTCGTATTTCTTTAGTAAGAGGACGTGTTAAAGCAATAAATATCATAGATCTCAGGCGAGAGGTAGATCCACGTGCGAAAAAATGTGTTATTTCATAGGGGAATGATACCTTACTTAAAATAAGGAATTAGTGGAATATGCCAGAAAGAAAATAGAGGAGCGGGGCGGACATCGGCACGTGCGTGGAGGCTAGGGCAGGTAAGTTCACATAAGGGTCTGAGCTCATATGTCGTACTCTATCATTGGCATGGGCGGCATCGATTCATTCGATTACATTTTACTCTTCAAAATCCATCTATGGATTCCCGGAGCTGGTTACACAAAAATCCACTTTTATTCGATATCCGAGTCGAGCTGGGATAACTTTGATTATATGATATGCCCTCTTTCTGAGCCAAGAAGGCATGTTTTCGCGCTTTCATATAGAGAGGAACCCCCGAGAATATACTTTATTTCACGCCTATAGAAGAAATTGAAAAAAAGTAGAGGATGATGATTTGAATGGGGATTTACAGAAAAATTTCCATTCTTATTTGAGTACCTAGGGAGGGAAGGATCCCGAGCGTAGAACGAGAAGAGTAAAGTAAGAAATAAGAGTTATATTGGCACGTACTGGAAAAATCTATCTTTGTTTGGTCAGTACATCAGCGAAGCCTTTCCCATTTCCTCTTTTTCAAATCATTCTTTTGCCAGTTGTTGTTGGAAACATAGGAAGGCCAGAGGCCCCCTGTATTTAGAATTTCGTATATATGGGCATCCTTATTAGTTTAGTCCAAACTAAACTGGAGTTAAAACTCTGGTAGGGAGGTCATATCTCTGTCTCGAGAAAATGCTTTCTTTTGAGCCGCAGGGTCGAGGGGGTCGTGAGACCCTCGAAAAAGGACTCTCTTATTGGCGTATAAACGGAAAAAAAAATCAATCCAATGCAAGTATGGCTTTCAAGCTTGTCCCCCTGTTGCCTTAAGCCTGGAGACCGGAGGTGCTTGCAGACCGGAGGTCGCGGCTGCTTGCTTTCTAAGGTAAGGTACGAACTAGTGCTGGTAAGTGAACGAACCTGTGAATTCTCGCGGCAGGCGTTCTCGAGGTCTTTGGTCCAGTTCAAGCAAGGGAAGGACAGACTGGACTGTTCCCTCGTGCTTCTCCCTTTAGGGGTGAAAACCTTCCTGACCGGAGTGCCGTTCACTCTACTTCTCCTGGCGGGAAGTACTTGTTCCCTTCACCAACCAATCTTCGGATTCAAAAATCGTATGTATATAAGCATAGAAAGCGCACCGTTTTGATATGGCAGTTGAAAATATATCTGGAGAGTTGCTCACTCCAACGAGCCTAGGCGGCCTAGGTGGACTTTGTCCACTTCCTATCAAAGCTCGAGTCTCCGGACTTGAAGAAAAGAAAACGGTGCCCACGAGACGGCTTATGGTGTTGCACAGGAAAGTCTGCTGGGCAGCAGAAACTCCGTAATTAAGATCCTGAAGCGCTTGCCCGCAAAACCTTAAATTTTGGAAGGTAGGTTGCTTGACATACTGTGACGGTGGCTCCATACGGGATCGATCTTCTTGTCATATTCGTTTAATACCATTCTGACTCAGAAAAATTTCTCTTGCAGTTTTCAAGCCAATCGTTTTCTCGCTCGGAGCTGAATGAAGGTATTTCCTTTGGCTAGACGGAGTGGAGTGACGCGAAGTTCCTTTCAAAAGTCTTTTATTATAGCCTTATTTTTGCTCCTGATTCGTGGGGGGTCGTGGAAGAATTGGGTTCGACTCCCATAGCCCCGATGTGGCGAAAAAGACTGATTCAACGAGATATGCCTTGCCTGCATTAAGATTTAAAACTTGTCGTCTACTTTCAGGAAATGTTCGGAACAGAGAACTTACAATAATACAACGCCGCATTCTCCGAAGATTGAGGAACAAGAAGAGATCTATTAAGAGAAAGATTTATCCGAGAAAAAATCTTAACAGTTACATCCAATCACAAACTACACGAAAGTTGCCCCTTTTTCATGGGGATTTACCCATCACAGAGATGCACAGAGGAACAGAGCGAACTTCATATATCCCTTTTCCACTCAATCCAGAAACAAGATCGGACGTTATTCTGGTTCGTCTCCATTTTTGTGAAACTATTCCTCAAGCAAGGCAGCCGATAAGTCATCGAAGGGTTTGTGTGAATAATGGAATGGTAAGCATTACTCATTTTAAAGTGTCCCACGGTGATTTAATATCTTTTCAAGAAAATGACGCGAGAATCCGCGGTGAAGAAATAAGGAGATCTTTCTATATCGAAATATCAGTTGAAAAAATCATAGGCAAATTCCTGGATCACCCGGTAAGAATGTGGAGAAGAACAAAAACAGAATGGTTCCACCTACTCAAAACTCAGAGGGGATGCCGCCTACTACTAAAATCCCGGTTTTTGCAACAGTTGCGCTCTTCTATGCAAGAAGAAGACTTAGAAAGAACAAAGAAGTTTGGATCCGAAAAAGTATGCTTAGGCAGTTCCTTCGCTGAGCACAACAGAATGAAGAGGAATTTGTATCATTTCAAATCCCTATTCTTATCGAAGAGAAGGAACGAGAAAAACCGAAATCTTCCTACTCGAACAAGAAGTCCTATAGTTTACAACTCTTCTTTATATAGAAATTCGACCTATTGCTCCGCATCCCCCCATCAGTTTACTATGAAGAGAAGAATCAAAAGGATTGAACTACCTACTCATTATTCGGAGGTGAATCATAGAACACCAAAAGCTGTGGTATCTTATGGACCTAACATAGGTCACATCCCTCACGACATAAGATTGAAAGATCTAAACCTTCCTCTTCGGAGCGGAAACGGACGTGGCCAAAACATATAAAGATCGGCGTAGTCGCTCATAGGGACATATCTATCCGGATAGAGGATAGTCTAGATCGATTCATAGATAGATTTCTATCCATATAGATAGGTATCTCCGTGGGTAGAGATAAAGATAGGGATCCATCTAGATCTTGATTCACTATTTCCATTTTTTTTTCTTGATTCTGATTATTGATTGCCTTTTTGTGACGACAAGTTTTAAATCTTAATGCAGGCTGGAAACATCATTTTTCAATTATTACTTGCTGGGTCGGAGCGTAGACGAGCGAGTAGAGCCCAGGAAACAGGGAAGCCCGTCATAGAGCAGTCGACTAGAAGTAGAAGACTGCTGGCCTGAGAGAAGGCGGCCTCTCCCGGGAAACATGGCCCAATTTCTCTTCTTTCTTTTTTATTTCGGGTTTCTTTATTTTTTCAGGGGCCCAGAACGCTAAAGGGTAGGGGAGAAGCAAGCCGAACCTCTGATCGACCTGGACACATAAAAAATTCTCGGCGTCGAGAGATATTTGAGATTCCGTAAGTAACTTAGTGCAACATGGCAAATTTCATTGAGAGGAATCAGCAAAGAAAAGAAAAACGGGTCACAACATATTATTAAGATTTGATCGTTGCATTACTGTATAGAAAAAGAAAAAAGAAATTGCGTATGAAATACGCCCAAAGACTCCCATGCCTTTCTTGGTTGGACCAACCAGATTTCCGAAAAGTCTTTCTGTTAGAGCAAGAAGCGGAACTACAAGTGAATCTTAATAGAAAGCTTATGATGAGCATCTATTTGAGTCGATCATTTCCAAGATCTAATTCAAGTTTTTTCTTATGTAGTGGAAATGCCTTACAATCTGAAGTTTTACGCTTAAGGGAAGAAATGTTCTTGGTGGATGCAGGACCTGGGACCCCCAGAATTTGTATGCAAGATGAGCCTACAGGAGTGCCAATCAACCGAGCCGCCAGGTTTGAGAATAAGGTGGGATCCCTGGATGTAGTGGCCGGTGAATCACTGATCAAAGAGCAGATTTTGGAGAGATTCTTCATCGATGTAGTGGCCGGTGAATCACTGATCAAAGAGCGAGCAGCCGCCAGGTTTAAAAATTTGGTGGGATCCACAGATGTAGTGGCTGGTGAACCGCTTCTTCTTCTTCCGCGAAGATTCAGACAAAACCGAGCTTGGATGGAACTGAACAAGATTTGGCGAACGAATACAAAGGTAAGGGGCTTTTTTATTAAGAAAGTAAAGGGCGGGTATTCAGTAGCCATCGCGGGTTTCCTTACCTTTCTTCCATTCCGTCGAAGAAATTTTTCGAGTGCTCGATTCACCATTGAGAGGATTAACCTCAAAAGGAAAAGGACGAATATTGTGGTGTTACAACAGCGGCGGATCAAACAAGAACTTATTTGTTTCTAGATGAATTTGTTTCAACAACCGATCCTTGTCCGTGCGTGGAAGGAGGAGAGTTGTAGCCGGATCGAACTCCCTTGACCTCTGAAGCGCTTGGACATAGGATTTCCGGCCAGGGTGGTAGCGCTTTTCCAACCAATTCCTCAAAAGGGCTAAAAAGCTCCTCTATCCCTTCAACCTTCTCGGGAGGTGGGATGCCCCATAAGCGCTTTTACCTTTTTTTATACACCTTCCCATCCATCAATGAAAAAATTTCTTATGTAGTATCTAAGGAACTCGACCCCAACTCATCTATCCCGACCGAAGCTGACCGTTGAACCTCCAAAAACAGGACCGGGTGCTCCTGTCTTCTCTTCCCAATGGGAGGAATCACCCTGCTAGGAGCATCTGTAGCGGCATCAGTAACGAGGGAAAGAGAGGCGGAAGGCGCCCCGATAGAGAAGGTGAAACCTTCCAAACTATGAATAAAATCCCTCATTGGATTGGCCAGTAGAACTTCGAAGCTTATCGGGCCTTCTCTTGTAAGCTAGCTCCATTCGATCGATCGCTTCCGTTCGGAATAGATTAGTTGGGAATTGGATGCTCTGCAGTGAAGGGCCTAGCTGCTAAAGCAGTTGATCCACTCGATAGGGCGGGAAACGGATAGAGATGAAGATGCAGAGTCTGATGCGCCTCTCATCCCGGTGAAGAAGAGGTGGGTTTCCTGGGCCCGGTCGGAGCTTCCTATCTCTCATTCGTTCGTTCCCCCTGGAGTAAAGTCATCGGAATCGGGGTTTGGTTCCGGTGGCCTCATATCTCCTACCCAATTTGAAGGTGGGTCAATGGACATTAGATACGTGATAACACTTGTGGTTTCGGTGAATCGCCTTCACTCTCGGGGTTCAGTACCTGCCTCTTGGTGTCCAATACCCAGTGATGGGAGAAGGAGTGGGAGACGAAGAGAGAGAAGATGGTTGCTTAGCAGCGGAAGCTGGGGATCGAGAAGCGGAGGGAGAGCTTAGGCTTGAAATGGAGCTAGGATACCGGTATTTTTCCCTACCTGGATCCGAGTCTTTCTCTTCTCCTGGACCGAGCACCGAGACCGAGGAAAGAGAGGCTGGATACGAGTCTGATGAGATCAGAGCCAGTGAAGAGAAGAGGGAAGGCTGACTCTGCTAGGCTGGCTTGCTTGTTCGACTAGAGCACATAAATAAGGTAGCTTGCTTACTTAGTGCGAAACGCTAAGGCCAATTAAGCAACGTTAATGGACCGTATAGCTCGTTTAGACCGTTAGACACGTTAGGCCTCTTAGCCAAGGTCTTACAGGTATGCCTCGTATGCTCGGTATGAAACTTCTTCCTTATGCCCTTCTTTAGCTATTACGCTCGTTAGCATGTTATTAAAGGAAAGTATTACTGTGATATTCCTATCTATCTCTATCTGGCCAAGGAAAGATCTCTAGTTAGCCCTACTATTATTGGAACTAGGCGGCTATTAGGAGAAGATGATAGACCTATAGATATTATCTTAGAAGCACTCTAAAATGAGAAACTTAACATTAACAAATGAAATATCAGATTAGGGCCTTTACCCTGGCCTGCTCTAGCCCTTTATCTAGCTGGCTTTCCTTCTTTCCCCATCGAAAGCAACTCAAATAAGAGAATAGTCCTAGCCTGCCCCAGCTCTGGATCTTTGCCTTGGCTTGGAAAAGACTGCAGACTTGGGAGATACTAGAGCTTTTGGTACTCACACTATGGTATGGCCAACAGGTCGGGCTGGCAGGCAACTTCCAACGACATGTAAGGCGCCAGCAACTCAAACCCCATGTAAAGATATCCATCTGTTAGCTAGAGCCCTACCAGAGACAGAAAGAAATTTACTGGGTGGTAAACAAAATACCGTTACACCTACCCTTGCCCTTAGCTTGCTTGGTGGAACTTGATTGAATGAGCTGGATTACAGGGAAGGCTCAATCGCTGGAAGGAAAGTCTCACGGGATGTAACAGAAGTCCCACGGGATAGAGGGCAACTCATACTGTAATTGGATAAACTTACCACTTCCACTATATGTATAGCCCTTAGTACTATCAAGAAAAGCATTCTTCGAAACTCGGATGGATATGGATATCGAATGGAAGCACGACTAACACAGGCTTTAAGAAAGACGAAGACTTGCTTTCCTGGCTTGCGTAAGAGAACTGCTTTCTGGCAGGGAACTAGCTAAAAGAGAAGCTCGCCTGGAAACCTCGTATGGGCCACCGGTAACTGGCAATGGTTCGCAGGTAGCAGGACTTTTTTTTAGGATTGTATGGAAGCACTTACCAATGAAACTGGCTGGCTTTAAAATTCCTGCTTTAAATGGAAATACTCCTCCAATCCAAGGTCCAAGGGGCGCAGCGGGAGACAACTAAAAACACTTCTACTCGGTGAGGGACTTATACTTCTCCTGGGGCTATCTACTCCAACTGGATGGCCAATGGCTGGAAATGGGTAGGAGGGAACTGCAACTCAAACCCCAGTAAGGCGGCTATGGCTGCATGAAATATAGGCTAGAAAAAAATAAGAAGTCCTCTTGAGCCACCCACCCTTAGCTTGTTTGGTTTGGACCCTTACGTTCGGTACACTCGTTAGGAAGCGAAGGGCTATAAAAAGGACTGCTTTCCAACTCACTAGCTTTAAAGTAAGGCTCTCCTAATGGCTCGTATTCACCTCTTCCCTCGGCTGGAACTACCACTCAAACTAGATCGCTGACAGAAGGAAGGTAACTATAAGGGCTTAAAACTGGCCTGGTAAGAGACTCCACTCCAATGAGAACTCAAACTGGATCGAATGCAGGGGTTTCCTATTGCAGACTTTGACTAGATGACTCCAACGGGCTTAAAAAAACACTAAAAATGGAGGGGATTATCTTAGCACTGCTTATGAATAGGCAACTACTGGAACTGGACATTAAAGGAAGGGAATCGTGTACTGAGCTAGCCTGCCTTGAACTTGAAGTAGGTAGTCTCTCCTATATCTGATAGCTTTAACTGGCCACTACAAAGAAATTGCCATAGATCGAAACTTATTCCAGGCTTAGTATCCCCCCTATAAAAGAAGACGAGTCATAAAGGCAAATATCTAACAATTTCAGGGGGGCACATCCAAACTGAATAGTACTCGCAGGTTCTCTTTTCCATATGTTCTTCCCGATGCCCTATCCGACAGCCGTTAACCGCCTTGCAGGGAATTCCTTACTCAAAAGTATGAGAGTGCGGCATAGCAAGAGCTTCCTACCTCCTTCTAACGCTTATCTCTTTTCTTGCTTCCTTGCTTTAATCCAATAGGCCGAATTCCTTGCTTGCATCCCTTTGATTGCTTAGTATCTCCTCCTTGCCGCACTCTTCTGGTACAAAGCAAAGGACTGGACTGCAAATTTTTTATATAAAGAAGAGTTCTGTCTTTCTTCATTCAAGTAAGATAGTTTATCGAGAAACCTCCGCCCAAAGGTGCTTTTTTGAAAGCCGGTCACCGGTGGCTAAGAACCTTTCCTCACTCTAGAAGCCTTCAACAAAGGCCACTTGATTTTCTTGTTCGTAAGGGGCGTTGTATATCTATATTGGACTTTCGATTTTGCGTTGTTTTTTTTTCACGAGGTTTTGTATATAATCCAATGTTCAGTGAGATGACTTTCCTACTGACCGAATCGCTTGAGTTAGTTGAAGGAAACGAGGCTTCCGGCCCGGCTGGTCCCACTACTGGCGAGGAGAGTTTTGACTGCGAGAGGCGCGTCTGATGGTATCGTATATAAGATCACGGCTGCATTTAGGAGTGATCTTTCCCTCTTCAACAAGCCGGCGGTGATCTCACTTTCGAAAGAGAGTCTCGACGTGGCGGTATACACGTAGCTCCATAGCGGGGCTAGTCATTGGCTACTGGTTTCTTTCCTACCGGACCGGAGGCGGCCGAGAATGTTATGTCAAAAGGACCGACGACGATGGGAGAAGGAGTAGGAGCGGTATGCTCAAAATAGAATGAGAATGATTACGAGATAGAACGGATCTCCTTGAATTCATTCATCACGTTTTTAACGTGGATAACGAGGCGCTGCCGCAGGCGGCAGATCCACAACATACTGCAACTCACGAGGCGCTGCCGCAGGCGCCAGCACCGGCGGAAGTTGCCCACCCCGCTCCCGATCAAAACGAGCGTGCGGCACTTCTAAGGGACATTCACACTTTGATTCGGGAGCAACTTCGCGAATATTGTGCAAGGGGGAAAGGGGGGCTCGCGCACTCGCCGGAAATGCTGGAACTATACTCCAGTAGCGCGAAGGCAATAATGTCTTACGATCTGGATATCCCCGCGGAGACAGATACGGAAACCCCCCGCAGATGGGTGGGAGAATATAAGGGGGGACCCTAATCTCCTAAAGCCACTCATTAGGGAATACCGGTCAAATTAGTCTGTCTGCCGCTTTCTTTCATAACAGAGCCGTTATTCCCGGCTGGCATAGAAGTCTCTCGTGCGGGCGAAGGAGATGCATTTCTGGTACTGGTGGTACTGGACAAGCTCTCAGGGAATAATCTCTTTCTTATTTCTGCCTTTCTTTCCCATGACGACTAGGAACGGGCAAATCAAAAATTTCACTTTGAATTCCGGACCTCAACATCCTGCTGCTCATGGTGTTTCACGATCAGTATTGGAAATGAACGGAGAAGTGGTGGAACGTGCGGAACCACATATTGGATCACTCCAGTGCGGCACGAAGCCGCTGACGCCGAGTCGGCTCCTATGCCGCTAGCTATGCCCTGCTTGGTCCCCCGGCACGGTGGAGATTCCGTAGCGCGTCATGAGCACCGGGCTAAGGGGCGGTTGAGCAACTCAAGCGAACCGCCCTACCTTACTACAACATAGGGACAGAAGGGAGAAGGTTGTGAAGGTGGCCTCGTTATCCACACCTCCGGTCGGATGAATGGAGGACCGACCGACCCGGGTTTTCACGAGCGTTGGCGGGTCCTGGAGTGCCTGTCAAGGGCGCTAGCGCATACCCCGGGGTGATCATCACCACCTGCACCTCACATCTCGGCGCAGTGGAACGTGTAACCCGCCTGCTGTCTCATTCAACTACATTTGTTCCTGTAATCCATAGCCTAACAGAACGCAGCAGCGAGGGACAACCCGCCCATACAGCCAGCGGGGAGGATGGCACTACTGGCAAAGACCGTCTGGTGAAAACGCCGCAGGCGCGAGGCGTGGTAGGCCTGCGCCGGGGGAGCATAGCATAGGGAGGAAAGGGAGCCGGGACGGTGGAAGAGCCAGGGGAGGCCGGGTCATTTGACGGAAATGGAAGGCTTTTCCCCTATTAGAGAAGGCCCTATGAAGTAAAGGGAAGTGCATGAATTCTTGGAAAAAGAGGGAGCGAGCCTATATAAAAAATGTAAAAAAGTAAATTCAATGAATAGATAGAGTCAACGGTACGACAGACAGCGCTGCCTACACGCGAATTAACTTCCGAGGTCGGGCAGTCTCAATTTCACTACAGGATTTGCGAATGAATGCTGGGCTGGGCCACCTCGAATGGCGTGAGCCGCATGCGGGGAGACCCGCACGTACGGTTTTTAGGGGGATATCTGGTCGAAAGACCGGCCGGCGCCCACCCGACTAGAGGGACTGAGAAATTAATAGAGTACAAAACTTATCTTCAAGCTTTACCTTATTCTGATCGTTCAGAGGGCGATCGCGGAGTCACTGAATGAAGTCCTCCGTTTCTTTCGGAGGTGCTGACCCGCAGCGAGGCAGAGATGACTAAGTGACATATGGAATATGGCGACGACAACAGCATGTCGTAGAAGGAGATAACAGGTGGAGCCAACGACCCACTAAGACTAAAGTATCTACAACTACATCCCCGAGCGGCAGTCAAACGGAGGCGTGAATGCAAGATGCCAGCGGAATGATCGGCCGGACAGAGGCTGGGGCTGCTTCCTTCCCACCGCGTCCTTCCTTGTGTGTCGGAGATATAAAGCGAGCGCACCGGAAAAGAACGGGAACTGGGTCGATCTATTCTATGGCGAAGCATCCGAAGCATAACTGCACACTCACACGATCTTTGCCGAGAGATAGGAGCATTCGGTGGAACCGGTGAACTACACTTGCTTCTGGATAGATGTGTGGGACAGAGGGCTCGTGGTACCTGCTGCCCACCCTTCCTCCTCTGCTTTGAGAACCGTGTGAACGGAGAGTGGGCAGAAGGGAAGGAGGTCCTCATACGGAGTCGCACACTTACTTGAGCAGTGCGGGAGACTGGGGAATGGGTCGAGCAAACTCCCCCTGGGCCGAAAAATTACAGACGAAGCTTTACTTAGATAGGGCTTTGATTTGATTGGTATTGATTTTTTCTTAGTGATTGGAAAGGAGGGCGCCGGGGTATGTTATAGAAAGGGAAGGCGGAGGTAGTACTTCGAATGGCGAAGAGCGGCGGCTCGGCAGGGAAGGAATGGGAAATCGTCAAGGATGACTTCTTTGTTGGCGAAACGAAGGGCTAAATAGCGCCAGTGATTCTCTGAGCCGGTCTGGATTTCCAACGCCTCGGGAAACTGGTCGAGATAGATGACAGCACCCTTTTCCTCTCTTCCTTACTCTAACAAGTAAGCAAGTAAACTACCTTACCGGGAGGGCAATCTTCTCTTATGGCCTTCACCTCCCGCCCGGTGACTAAGAAAGAAATTGGTTTGCGCTTGAATTGAAGTGATGAGGTCGCAAAGCAAAGAGGGAAGCTGGGCTCCTATTGAAACGCTTTCCATCCCTCAAAAGGCGACCTGCTTTCAATACTAGTTGTTACGTTACGCTGCCATTTTTCCAATATCATTGAATAGCATGGCCTGGGGCTAAGGTAACTCAAGTGGGAGAGCCGTGTTATGGGTAACCTTATTGCACGGTTCAGAGAGCACTTGTGTATGTGATGCAAGTGAACGTGTACGAAAAAGCTGTCGTAAAGTTTCGTTGTTCGTTCCGTCGTCGACCCTATCTATGTTTCTATGATGGCCCAAGAACACGCTCATTCTTCAGCCGTAGAGAGACTTTTGAATTGCGAGGTACCATTACGAGCTCAATATATACGAGTGTTATTCCGTGAAATAACTCGAATTTCAAATCATTCACTTGCTTTAACTACTCATGCTATGGATGTGGGAGCATCAACTCCGTTCCTGTGGGCTTTTGAGGAGCGGGAGAAATTGTTGGAATTCTATGAAAGAGTCTCCGGAGCCAGGATGCATGCCAGTTTCATACGACCAGGTGGAGTGGCCCAAGATTTGCCTCTTGGCTTATGTCGAGATATTGATTCCTCCACACAACAATTTGCTTCTCGTATCGACGAATTAGAAGAGATGTCAACCGGCAACCGTATCTGGAAACAACGATTAGTGGATATTGGTACTGTCACTGCACAGCAAGCAAAGGATTGGGGATTCAGTGGTGTAATGTTAAGAGGTCGTGCGACATGAAGACATTGATAGCAATATGGGGGAAGTTCCCATCGGGCAACAACGGTTCTGCCTGACCCTACTTAAGCATGCATATTATGTCAGTGAAGACTTGGTGTGAAGCCTTGGAGCTTACGTTAGAAGAGCAAAAGGCCCGGGGCTAGGGTGAGCTGAGGGGGGACAGCGTAAGTGAGCGAATGTGTGTAAGCCCAGTCAAACATGACTGTTCTAGGCAGGGCGAGCCACCCACCTTCGAATGGTGTTGGTCCGTAGGACCGTGAACGGATTCGCCTCTGGCCTCTGGGCACGTCGGAACCGCATGAGTTCACCGGGGTGGAGCACGGTCCGCCAAAATCGGCATAGGTTAGGTGCTATTGATGGAACATGGTAAGCCTATCTTTCTCCATATGGAAGTGCTGCGGGCACATAGAGATGTGGGTAGAGGAAGCCTCAAAAAGCGAAGGCCGAGCTGCAGGTCACGTGACCTGCACCGAGTTGGTGGCTGACTGGGCTTTTTCCTTGATCAAAGCAGATCAGCTCGCCTTCTTGTTATCCAAAAGCCGGTCGAATCGGGCGCCCCGGAACGTCGAATGAAATAGGTGGCCGAGTTCTCTTTCTACAACCCTTTTGATATGATAGGCCCGGCCACCTTCCCCCTATCCCTTATGTTTAGGAGCGGGACCCGCCCAAGAACGACCAGTCCTGTGGTGGTACGGAAGGCACGGACTCCGCGAACGTCCCGCGCCCCCTTTACTAATAAAGGAAAGAAAGCCTCAACCAGAACCACATTCCTTTTGCGTGCGGATGTAGCTAAGTGTCTGACTCTATTGGTCATAGTTTCCTGCTGTTGCGGCCGGTGCTCGTTTGCGCGCGCGCGTGAACCAACCCAACAAACAAGGAAAGAATGCCTCTCGGGGCATCTGAGAATGATTCGAGCCGTATGAAGGGAAACTCTCACGTACAGTTTTTTTTGGGGGGGGCCGGAGCCCGACAGGGTCCCCCCACTGACTTGGCCCGGGCCTAAGTGAAAGTGAAGTGGTGGGCCTACCCATCCCAACCAGGGGTATGCTGGGATTCGCGAAGAGCAGCACCTTACGATGTTCATGACCAATCGGATCCTGACGTACCAGTAGGTACCAGAGGAGATCGCTATGATCGTTACTGTATCCGTATT